TCAATCAGTCTTTATTCCAGTGGACTCACACCCTTCTCCCTCTAATTCCCACTTTTTCTTCTCATCTGTTGTTCATGGCAGTCTGCAGAATTTAGATGTCATTGAGTGGTTAAATAGGTTTAAAAACATTTTCTCTGTGATATATTTACCCAATATATTTTTCACTGATACTATTTTTACTTTAGGTTCAAAGAAGGTCTAAATGTCCTTGGGCTTATAGATGACATGATAGCCCACCATACTGCCTTTGAAGAGGTGTTCTTCAAAAGCAATGTCAAACTGACTGCGGCGGACATAGTGGGGCTGTTCAAGCCACAATTTACCTCACCAAGAGGCTCCAATAAACGGAGACAAGAGTCCAGGGCAGTTGCATTCTGGCGGGACTGGCTTCTGGAGGTAGAGGGTAAGACAGCCTTCAATGGTCAAAGCTCTCCATTTCTTTATTTGGAGAGGATGCCCCTAAAAACCGTCACTGGCTATGGATCATTTGGACGTACAACAGAAGAGGTGTCAGGGACCAATTAAATCGGGCAATGGCTTCCAGTAGGCCTACACTTTCACAAACATCTGTACCAAAGTTGCTGCAACAAAATGATACAATGGAAAATAATGGTAAGGTTTTTTTTTCCACATTAATGTTAACTCTGGTTAGTTTGTTTTGAGAAAAATACATGTTTTCCCTGTGAACTGAAAATACTATTTTCTTACAATCTACCAATTTAACAACAAAATTAAAATCAAGCGCAGATGACAGGGTTCATAAATGTATCTTTTACTAGAATGGGTGTATGAATAGGCTTATACATTACAAAATGAATCCACCCATTTCACCTAAACAGTTTTACACATTTTAAGATTCAATAAAATCATTACCACAAGTCCCGATAAAAAAAAAAAAACTATTCCAATTAATTCGACAATCCACCGTGTCTTTAGTTAACACAAAAATGAAAATTCTGTCCTAATTTACTCACCCTCAGGTTGTTCCAACCTTTGTAATGTCCTTTGTTCTGCTGAATGAAGGAAGAAATGCTGAAGAAAGTTTGGAACCAATGAATTCCGGTGGGAAAAATACTATAGAAGTCAACGGCGCCCCAAAACTCTTCGGATTCCCACATTCTTCAATATATTTTCGTTTGTGTTTTATTAGGTGTTTTAGACAGGTTTAAAACAAGTTGAGGATGAGCAGACGGTTATGGATTTTCATTTTTGATATTGTCATTCACGTTATGCCGGAACACACATGCTAGCTTACTAAACCCGGTATAACTCATATACCAATCCCACACAAGCAGTCTACTTGATTTGTGTGACCTGTTGTGCTCTAAACAACAGCACTTAATAGTTCCACACTGGAACTATTAAGTTCCACACTGGATGCGCAAGCAGAGCGGAGGCAGTGCTGATTGCCATTGTGCTTTCACACTGGTAGCATTTGCACCGCGCAGCTGAACCGCGGTTTTTGTAGCTACTGCATAAACAGACAAGTATCTTCGAATGAGCCACCATTTTCGGGCGTTCTCCTCCGGCCACGCCTGTCACGTGCTTTGATCTGTGCAAGACAGCATACGATGCCACCATATTCTCCTGCTGTCCCACACATGTGTATAATATGCTGTAGGCCTATACAAGTGTTGTGATGTTCATTGTTTCTATTTGGTTTAATTTTAATCTAATTTAATTGTATGATTATGTATAATTTTTTTTTTTGTTATATTGTTAATTATGTTCATTATGAAAGATAAAAGTTAAGGCTGTGGAAATGAATGGCAAAAATGTCGGGAGATATGGTTGAGACCAGAGTGAAGTTGCAAAATGTTGGCAAAATAGTCTCAATCGCGTGTTCTGCTTGTGCTGTAAACAATGTTTGTGCTGCTTTGGTTTTTTTAGATAATAGCTTAATATTTATAGGTAATTCTGAGGCCACTCAATCCCCACATGTATTGTTTGTTTGTGCTGGTTTGTGCCAATAAAAGTTTATTTTGTGCTGCTTTGGATTTTACATGATCAAACTTATAATTTAGTGTTTAATATTTTAAAAACTGAAGTTGCACGAACAAAACGCTTACTGGCACAAAGCAGCACAAACGAAGCACAAACAAATGAGACTATTTTTGGGTGAATTTGAGCATGTGGGGGCTGAGTGACCTCATATAAATAATCTTTAAATATCTAAAAAAAAAAAAAACAACAAAGCAGCACAAACGAATTTTTTTCCAGCACAAACGATTGAGACTTTTGCTAAGATTTTGCGCTGGGTGGGGGCCAACTTCACAATGGGCGGGCATTGGGGGGCCTGGCCCGCCCTGTGAGGCACTAGTGGCCGCCCTGGACGAGCCTGCTGTCTCCCTTCACCTGTTAACCAGCTCCACGTCCCACCAACCACCAGTCCTTGCTTGTCTGCACAATATATATATATTTTTTATCAATAGGCTACTGTTATCAAAAGTTATCGTTTTGTATATATATAACTCCTGAATAAAAATAAAAATGTGTTTGGTCTGATTTTTTTTTTTATCATTTTAAACGTATTTGATTGGTTTGTCGATAGTGATCGCGGAAATGTTTGGTTGTTTGCTAAGCATAGCGCTACCGCTTAATGTTAGTTGTCTTTTTTTTTTTTTTTTTAAATGCTGAGCGATCTCGTGTGGCAGTGCTATGGATATACGGCGTTTCATTAATCAAAAACCAGCAAAGTTGGCAGGAGAGAACAGCAGCGATGTAACGTTAGGCGAAAGCCCTGGGTGTCACAATTCGCAAAACGTTGATTCAACTCCCGACAGTGCAGAGGCCAGCCGTTCCAGTTCCACTATTCATGCAGATGCTGCATTCTGCTACCCATGCAGAACGTTTCGAGCGCCCTCCTCTGCCACAGACACCACATTTACAATTATTGGATTTTGCGACTGGAAGCATGCAGTGGAAACTGGGAAAGGACTTAATAAACATTCAGCGTCAAAAGAACACCAGACTTGTGAAGCTATGTGGAGGGACAAGGAGAGACGGATTCAGACCGGTAAAGAAAGCACAACTTTAATCAATGCAGAACATTTGGAACGCAATAGATACTACTTATCATCAGTAATCGATGTCGTCGAGTTCCTTGCAGTGAACCAGCTACATTTTAGAGGTGACCATGATGCTTTTGATTGTATGGCTGAAGATGGATGCGGATTGTTTTTGTCCTTATTTGAATATACTTTGAGGAAAGATGCCGTGTTGGCCAAGATAGTGCAGACTATCCCACACAATGCTAGGTATACTAGCCATGACATTCAAAACAGTTTGATAGAGATTATGAGTACTTTGGTCACGGAGCACATAGTGAAAGAGGTTGGCGAGTCATTTTATACAATAAAAGTGGATGGAACTCGAGACCCGACAGGAAGAGAGAATATTTCAATAGTTGTGCGTTTTGTGAATGAACTGAATGAGCCAACTGAACGTCTTCTGACAATTGCCACCGCTGACCAGGGAGACGCAGAAACACTGACTGACACGATCATTGAAGAATTAACAAAAGCAGGACTGAGTTCTGGGAAAATCATCAGTCAGGTGTATGACGGCGCCTCCCTGATGTCAGGTAAACATGGAGGGGTGCAAAAACGTCTCCAACAAAAATTGCACCGAGATATACCCTATGTCCACTGTTTCAACCACCAATTACATTTGGTGGTCACCCATGCTTTGGCAGCAGAGCAGGCCTTGGTGGACTTTTTCACTATGTGTAACATGCTCTACAAATTCTGCAGAAAGCCTACCATTGCCATTCTCTACAAGGGAGAGACATTGAAGCGCCTCCTAGACCAATGCTGGACAGGTCATTTTGGCACGGTCTCCGTTATGCTGAGATCATTTGATGACCTATCCACACTGCTCCGAGAAATCAACAGCAGCCCAGCCTATGGAGCAGATGTGCGAGTTGAAGCAGCAGGTTTACTATGGGCCATGTCTGAACCCAGCTTTAGGTTCATTGCCGAGATGGTGCACAAAATCTTATCGTATCTCGACCCCCCTAATCTGATGCTACAGGCAGAAGACATGGATCTGTTAACAGGTGTGCAACTTGTAAATTCAGCATGTACGTGTATTGAAAATCTCTGTTCTGAGACGGAATTTGTGACACTCTTGAAGCGTTGCAAGGATGCAACAATAGAGCCTGTGCCAGATAAGAGACGATGCACACTAAACACATCCTTCGCTATGTATGCAGTTGAGGAAAGAATTATATATGAAGATCTCAGCGACGAAACAGAGCTACGCAGGATGTATTTCAGTTGTATCGATGCAGTTTGTGGGGAAATGAAGGAACGCTTTGGGGAACGCAATTGTGTGCTGATGGATGCGCTCAGATCTCTGGACCCAGAGGATTCTACTTTCTTGGATGTGTCCAAAGTGAAACCTTTACTGAACCTTACTAATACACCCATTGTGGAATCTGAATACACAGTGGCTCACCAATTCCTAAGCATGCAAATGAAGGACTCATTTCCAGCCGACCATTCACACCTCCTGCAACCCCCCTCTCCCCACCTCCAGTACTCCAAATCAGTGAAGATGACGTGCATCAGGTCTTCAGAAAGAACAAGAGAACAAAAGCACCAGGCCCAGACGGTGTGACACCAGCCTGTCTGAAAACCTGTGCTGACCATCTGGCCCCCATCTTCACACAGATCTTCAACAGCTCACTGGAGCTGTGCGAAGTCCCCTCATGCTTTAAACGCTCCACCATCATCCCCGTCCCAAAGAAACCCAAAATTACTGGACTTAATGACTACAGACCTGTGGCTCTAACGTTTGTATATTTGTATATTATTCTTTTTATTATCTATGTCCTGTCTTGTCACTGTCATTCTGTTGCACTGTGGAGCTTCTGTCACTAAAACAAATTCCTCGTATGTGTAAACATACCTGGCAATAAAGCTCATTCTGATTCTGATTCTGATTCTGATCTTTCATTTTAAATTCTTAATTTTGATCAATAAATTAAATTAGAATAAGACACTATAGGCCTGTTACCAGTCAAACTGAATAATTTACACTAAATAATTTACATTAAATAATGTTATGAGATTGTTTTAAATATTTTTTTGAATATACAAATAAGAAATGTTGGAAAGAATTATACTTTTAAACAAACTAAACCGCCAGTAGGTGGTGGTAGGTGATAAGTGGTCTTATTAAGCGAGTCATTCATTCAAACAATTCGTGCAAACGGATGATGCTTCAAGAATGAGGCAGTTGTTTTATGAATGGGTCATTGAATCTTTGATTCAACCGATTCGTTCAAAATGCTGAATCATTCAGTAATGAAAACATGGTTGAGTGTTGCTGTGATCTTTGTTTGAACTATTTTCGTCAATATTGCTCTAAAATGTAAGTGACTTAATATTAATTACTTGTTTAGTGAACTGTCATATGAAATCAGTGTCACATTTTCAATCGTGATGGTATTCAGTAGTGATGGAAAAATGAACCCAGCAAGCAATAGCCGTCATTTCAACGTCTCGGTTAAGTATAGACCTGA